TTTTTTGGTCGGATGATTTGGATTTAGGGCTTCTGCGTTTGTCTCCTTCTGAGCTTAGCAAGCATGCCGTGGAATTGGAGAAAAGGGCAATCCAGTTGACTATAGAGGAAGGTGTGGTGACTAGTATTTTGTTGGCATTTGTTTGTTTTGTCTGTAACTTTCATATATTTTATGGCATTCTCTCATAATTTGGTATGGCATGTTGGAATGCGAAGGAGACTGACATGGTGAAAGATTACTACGATGAAACTTGAGCTATGTATAGCGAAACTACTTAAAAAGATTTTGGGAACGATTTCAAACAAATCTAATTGATGATATGAGGCCAACTATAGGTCGCAATCAGGTTGTGATTTGTCTCTCTTTCTAGTCACAAAACGTTCGATTGCACATTTACGCAGATGAGTTATTTAGTGTGATCCTTTTGTATGGAACCTTGTTGTTTTTGTATCTGACCACCAGGCTTGGGGGTTTGAATACAAGAATCTTATGTGTAGCCAAAAGGCTCTAAAATCCCACAGTTACCTACACCATTATGTGTGTATTCATGCTCTTAAATAGTTTCTTTCTTTATCTATCTAAAGCTAGCTGCTTACAATATTTTTCGCAAGCTGTTGCTTCATTGTTATCATTCACACGATGAATGCATGTAATATAGCAAAGTTTGATATCAGACATATCCGCAATCTCCTTGGGATAAGTGAGATCCTACCTGCGCATTGGAAGTTTTGTGTATTGCCCAACGACACCGTTTAAACCACCGAATGCTCTTTGTTTTGCAGGCAACGAGATGCAACGAATGAGAACACTGAACATTTTGGCGAAATCTTCTCCAACAAACAATTTGCTGCAATCAAATCAGTTATTGCCACCCAATAAGCGTTAGTCGTGAGGTTTGTGGTGAAATTTTGTGGGGATAAATTGTTTTATTGTTGACTAAATCCTGAATGGAACCTTTAGTCATCTGTCCTTCATATCAAAGGCCTTTTAGATCTAATAATGTACTGTTGTTTTGAGCAGCTACATGTGAAAATTGTGATAAATTGTTAGCCTGTAGTCATGTGCTGCAATTCATCATATCATTTGTTGTTCCTATGGATATAAGCAGTTGTTAGAATGTAGCTTCTTGTGTTTTTGTTTCTCAAACTTTTAAGAATATTTTCTAATTTTCGGCTTCTTTTTTTTTTTTTTTTTTTTTTTTTTTTTT